TTCTCCCTCTGTGTAATACACAGTAGTACAGTCTGGCTGGCTCCTTAAGAGTCCCTGACTGCCCTGAGGAAAACGGAGGACATACATATGCTGCATACAGGGGTCATTTCGTAGAAAAAGAGGTGCAGGAGCTCATTAGCATAACTCATTAGCATAACTCATTTGCATATGCCACACACCCCTGACATCACCAGAAGTGTATCAGGAAGCAACACCCACCACTCAGGCTCCACTGGACTGTTTTGGATTGCCAGCTATTGGAGGGGGGGAGGAACGTGCAGATTTGTCCTTGCAGAGGAGGGAGAGCTTGTACCTGAATAAAACTTGGTCTTAAAGGTGCCACTGGACTGGTTGGGGCCGGGGGGGGCGGGGGGGGGAGCCCTGCAACTTGCCTGACTGCTTCTTGCTCTGACTGAGGGCTGCTGGGAGCAGGGGGTGGGGCTTGTTGCATGTGCCCGCCCCCTGGGCTCTTTACTGCTGGAGCTTTGCTCCTGCGCGCTCCTGCAGGAAATGACCCCTGCATATGCACATTATTCTGGAACAATCCCTCCCCATTCCTTTTGCTTCAGAATTGTTTCTGGAGGCCCAATTTAACATCAAAAATCCACAATCAGGCACAGATTTGAAAACTGCTAAGGAATCTGCTTATTTGACACTGTTTGGTTACCCTTTCGTAGATTCAGATGTCAGAAAGGGAGAGGTCACAGGTAACACTGGAAGGCCCCCTTCCCTCTGTTTAAGACAGAACACCTAAGAGAGTCACTGAAGAAGGTGGAACAAAACTCGTGGAAACATCATCTGAAATGAAACTTTCCCTTTTATTAGCCTGTATTTACTCCTCACTATTCCAGTGTGATATTTAATTCAAAAAATGTTGGTGAATTTCTTTGATGATTGTTTTTTTTAACACATACACAGCTATCTTTTTTTTAAAAAAACCCAAATATATAACAACATATTTGGGTTCGTTCTTAAACAAAGTTCTGACCTGCTTCTTCCGTTAGTCCAGCCTCCGCTCGAAAATGTCCAGCGAAGGAAAATGTCCAGCCTCCTCCGCTCAAAAATGTCCAGCGAAGGAGCATCCACCACCTCCCGAGGCAGTCTGTTCCACTGCTCAACCACTCTTACAGTTAGGAAGTTTCTCCTGATATTCAGCCGGTATCGACTCCCTTGTAATTTCCACCCATTAGATCTAGTCTTGCAATCCGGAGCAAGAGAGAATAGATCGGCTCCCATCTTCTACAGGACAGCCCTTCAAATATTTGAAGACTACAATCGTGTCCCCTCCAAGCCTTCTCTCTCCCAGGCTAAACAGACCCAACTCTTTCAGCCTTTCCTCCTAAGACTTGGATTCCAACCCTCTCACCATCCTGGTTGCCCTCTTCTGGACACGCTCGAGCTTGTCAACATCCTTCCTCAAATGTGGTGCCCAAAATTGGACAGATTTCAAGATGGTTAGGAATGCTTGTAGCGTACCTTCTTTTCTATAAAATGCAATCTCACTCAGTGAGAAAAATGGACGATAAATGAAGTAAAAAAACAATTATTGGTCATGATTAATGAACATGTAGATTAAAAAAAGGGTTAGTTGCCATTTATTGATATGCTTGCTATTCACAATGTTAAAAAAATAAAAATAAATCAACTGTCTTCTGATTTTACTCATATAACAATACAAAACAATAAAATATAAATGTTTTATCACATCAATATTGAAGGCTTTCACGGCTAGAGTCAGCTTGCAGGGAGGGCGGGGTAGAAATGTAATAATAAAAATAATTAAAAAAATTAAAAATAGTTAAAAAAAATAAATAAAAATAAAAATTAGTTGTAGATTTTCAGGGCTGTATGACCGTGGTCTTGGTAAGACCATGGCCATACAGCCCCGAAAATCTATAACTAATTTTATCACATCCTAAAAAAAATTTTTTTAATGGAATGTTTCATCACGCAACTATCTTTAACAGGGCTCTTAATGCCTACATTCTTATGGAAGTTTTTAATGAAATCGAACATAATTCTAACATCAAGTTTTAACAGCAAATGCTATTAATTCTAACAGCAATTGTTAATTCTACCAGCAAATTTTAACAGCAAATGCTCCACTGGAAATCTCAAATGAATATTTCTTCAAACTTTTAAATCATAAATTCCGATATGCTGCTGTTTCAGTATCTCTGGCCAAGGTACATCAGCATACACCACTAACTTAACAACATATCAAAATCAATGTTGGTCATAGTTACTTTGAAGATCGGTGCCTGTCTACCATTCAGACCTTCAAAGGCAAATCAGTCCAAACACAAACCACATGAACGGTTCTTTTCCCTTGCTGATATTGGCTCTGAACATTTCTGGGCCCAGAGCTACTCAGGCCTGTAGCTACAGTGGGGCATTTCGGGGCCCAGCCCCCTGACTTTCCACCAGCCCCCCCAACTTTCCAGCCCAGCCAGCCCCCCCTCCCTGGACTTATTTCTTGCACTCGCTGCCCTTTCGTTAAATGGGAGACGCCAGGGGGGGGGGCTAACACACACCTGCACTCTAAGGGACTTTCAGTGCCCCCTCACTTTTTAAAAGGCCCCCCAAATTATGAAATCCTGGCTACGGGCCTGGAGCTACTCCTGCCCCATAGGTTTCCCCACAGACTGCTAGCCTGGTGGTAGCTAAAAAAACCCAGAGGCGGAGGAGGAGGAGGAGGTGGCCTAATGGAGCTGTCCTCACCCCTCATGGAAACCAGTGGCCTTTTTGGCCACCTCAGTCAGGGCAGGAAAACCACAAGGGCCAACATCTGGGCAGCAGGGGAGAGAAGGGCTTCTCCTTTGAGCTCCTTTTGGTAATAGCTAACTTCTCAAACTCTGGAACAAGAGTTCTCAGCACGTACAGGCCGACCCTCCAGCCTTTGAGCTCTTTATCAACAAATCTCCCCGTTTCATGTGGTGGCTGATGCCAAATGAGCCAAAACCTGTTATGCTACACAAGTGTACAAAAAGCTTCATCCCATTATTATTAAAACAATGCAAAGCTTGTGGTTTTGTGAATAAACTGCACATGAGAATATACCTCGCTTTATGTTGAGGATGGATTTCTCCATGCGGACTTAGTATGTCCTTCATGTGTTCCGATGTAGTAGTTTGCTGCAGATCCAGTATCGGTGCTTGTCACACCATGTCGAGCTGACCTCGTCTATATTCAGGTAAGCGCAAAGTCCTTCGCCTCCCACTGGAAACCTACAACAGGGAGAGCCAGAGCTTACCATTGCGGTGTGCCAATTCCACACTTTGTCCAAGAACACGGATCAAAAAATCCACACAATGGGGCCACGTATGGACTGGGGAGATGTTTCAAGAAACTAGGAGAAAACCCGGGGCTTTGCAGGAAAATATGAGAAAGCTGTGGCACTGAAATCCCCCATAAACGATAGAAACACCACCTCCACACACCAGGAAAATCAGGGCTGGCCATACAGGTTGTCACAACACAATCTAAAATGAAGCTAAGCAATGAGAGGCTGAGATTGGGGGGGCATGCCAAGGTGAGGGGAAAGCAGGAAGGGGGGCAGAAGGATGGGGGGACTGGGGTAAAGGAGAAAAAAGCAGAAGGGTGGGCAGTGGAGGGGAAGCGGGGTTTTTCCCTCCCCTAGTCTCTGTAGGACTTTTGCAGCCCCCCCAGGGGTTAAAGGCCATCTATTGGGACTCTTTCAAGATCCAGTGCTGTCTACCCCCCTCCCAGTTGGCTGCAAAAGCAGAATCCCATTTCTGTAAAAGCAGAATCCCATTTCTGTAAAAGCAGAATCAATCCCATTTCTGCAGCCACCTTCAGGAAGAGTGAAAGCATCAGGAAGAGTGAAAGCAATCTGCCAACTTCTTGACCAAATCTCAGCTAGGGAGGGGAGGTTTTGCGAAGATATCTAACGTTTCGAAACTAGACACAGTAAACTTTATTCCTGAACTGCTTCAAGGGCTTAAAAACATAGATCCCACAATGTGCTGGGAAGCACGCAAAGAACTCTACAGGTGGGATTTGCACCCCAAAAGCGAACGTTTACCAAAAACATTTTCTACCTACTCCCCCCATTACTGGCAGAAAGTTCAGAACGAGAGATGCGCACTCACCGGTTGTTGAAGAGGGACCCATTCGCCCATTTCCAAAGTTCTCCTGCTCCTGTCCTCCGGAGGCCAATCCAATAATACCTTGGTCTTTTAGACTGACTTACAAAATCCTTTGAAAAACAAAGAATTCACATCCTTTAAAACAAATCTCCTCTATAGGTAAATTTTAAGAGTGCAATACGTTTTATGCCACAACATTCATTTGATGCCCATATCTCATGGTCAGGAAGGGCTGAAAATACAGTTACATTTTAAATTGATGTTTGATATGTTTCCCAGGCTGTTTGTCATGTGCAGTTAGTTCTCTCACTGTAGGAAAGAAAGAATTTGCTCCCGTCCACCATGAGCCTGTTCAAATTCTGGTTATAACCACTATTTTTATTTTTAAGTTAAGTCAATTAATGTTTAGTAGTTGGAACAGTCTGGGAACCGGGTAACAGTTACAATCCCGGGACAGAGTTCACCCATGGTACCTGGGGTGGCAGGGTGGAACAGAATTCCCACAGTAGTTTTTCTTTTTGGTGTTGCAGAACAAAACACACCTTTTAAAAATCCAGCCCATTCAGACACTTCCAAATGCGGTGGCTGTCTCGTGTGTGTGTGTGTGAGAGAGAACACAAATTGGGGGAAAGAGGGAGAAGGCGGCCACCACAGTTTTGAGGTAGACACACTCAAGACTGATTAAAGAGTCCATCTAGAACAGTGATGGTGAACCTTTTAGAGACTGAGTGCCCAAACTGCAACCCAAAGCCCACTTATTTATCACGAAGTGCCAACATGGCAATTTAACCTGAATACTGAGGTTTTACTTTAGAAAAAACAACTCATACATTAACTTAAGATGATCCAAACAAAGTAAGGAAAGCAATCCCAAATGCTTTCATTTACTTAAAATTATTTGGCAGAGAATTCAACACTTTAATGATGGTCTGGGCCTGGCTGGGGCGATGGCACGAGTGCCCACAGAGAGGGCTCTGAGTGCCAACTCTGGCACCCGTGCTATAGGTTCGCCACCACTGATCTAGAAGTTCTAATGCTTGAGGAAGAAAGAGACACAACATTTTAACTCATAAGAAGATGTAAGAGAGGAGGTGGCGGCCTCTAACCCACAGAGCTGCAGAGGTTGCTACGGGAATTACGGGTCAAATCCAGACCCTGGATGTGCAAAATCTAACACACTTGAACGGTCATCTAGGGCAGCCCCACAGTCTTGCCAGTAACGTGGCACTGTGGCTTCTGAGCTCTTCCCCAAAGCTCCACCGTGCCCATCTCTGCTGGCATTCCCTTCCACGGGACAGTTTAGTACAGCTTTATTGGCAACACTCTTTAACTGTTGGGCTTCTTCTGACAGGCTGGTTGGCCGCTCACTGGCCAAGGGGCTTTGCCTTCATCGCAGTCTGCCAAGCTGCAGCCCACAGGGGGGGTTCAGAAGAAAAGCTGTGCCCCTGGCACGAAGAAAATGGGGAGGATTGGATTTATACCCCGCCCTTCACTCGGAGTCTCAGAGCGGCTTACAAACTCCTGTCCTTTCCCCTCCCCACAACAGACACCGCGCGAGGTAGGTGGGTCTGAGAGAGCTCTTTCCAGGACTGCCCTTGAGAGAACAGCTCTGAGAGAATTATGGCTTGCCCGAGGTCATCCAGCAGCTGCAAGTGGAGGAGAGGGGACTCAAACCTGGTTCTCCCAGATTAGAGTCCGCGCACTTAACCACTCCATCAAATTCCAAAGGCCAATCAGAAGACTTGGTGGACCAAAGCCACACCCTGTCCCTGCCCACTTTGTAAAAACCCTTGATAAACACCCGGAAAGGTGCTGAGGGATGCCATGGCACAACTTTAGGGGGCCCTGATCTAATGTCTCTACTGACAAGAATGCACTGGCATTATAGCCACTTGGAGCATGAATGTCGCTCTCACCCACTCCTGCGGAGTATCCATGGCCACCAGGGAACCTCCATGGGAAGAGCAGTCGATCCGGCTGGCGTTCCAGGTCTGCTCAGTGTCAGAGAAAAAGTAGCACCGCCCTTCATTCCTAACCCAGCGCTGTGGGCAGAGACTGGCATCCAATGTGGGTGACGTGGTATCCGGTGGGCTGGGAGCAGCGGGCATCTGATGCAACTTTGCTGATGAATGAAATACAAGCATGTCATGGTGGACAGGCAACCCCGACACTTGCATTGGGTGGCGGGGAGAAACTACACCTTTTCCAAGGCTCATCTGAGCAGAGGACGGCGGGAACATACAAACACACATACAAAGCTGCATCACACTGAATCTGACCACTGAAGTCAGTATTTATTCAGGCTGGCAGCAGCCCTCCAGGGTCTCCGGAAGAAGCCTTTCACGTCACCTGCTGTCTGGAACTTGTAAGTGGGGGTGCCGGGGATTGAATCTGGGATCTTTGGCATGCCAAGCAGAGGCTCTGCCACCGATCCACAGCCCTTCCCCAAGAAGGGGGTCAAGCAAGAGAATCTCCTGTGGGTCAAACTCCCACTGTTAAACAGTCATTCCCAATCAAGGTTTGCAGCAAGATTGTTCAGACGGAATCCCCACCATTTTGCTCCTGAAGTTTCTGCTTCCCAACTGCAGAAGAGCCGATTCGCAGCAGCAGAGTGATCAAAGGACATGCAATCAGGACCATTTACCCGATGGCTGCGAAAAGGATCTCATGTCCCCTTCGACACTTCTGCTGGGAAAGCATGAAAGCATAACGGCTTTAAAATGTATAATGTATCGGTGGTGCCACCTAGATCAGAAGCATTCTGGGTCATTTCTTCCAGTCACCCTGAGGATCCCTAATCTGAGAAGAGAAGAGAGGTGGCGAGAATGGAGGGGGAGAGGGGAGTGGAAGAAAAGGAACCCACAGAGGCAGAGGGGCTGGCAAAGGAGCCGTCTGCGAACATGCTCAGAGAAGAGGCAGGCAGAGAAATGCCATCATCACAGCCAACGGCTGTGCTTTAAATTTTGTACTCCGCCTTGCGTCTCAGTGACAAATTTGGGCTATAAATGGAACAAATAAAATACAAAAGAAAAAGTACAATAAAAAGGGGACTCGAGAACTCACCCCACACAGAGATATTCATAGTGACTGAGATCACCAGGAGAACCGAGAGTCCAATTGTGCTGCACTTCCATTTGTTGCCATTAGCTAACAGAGACAAAAAGCGACATCTTGTCATAAAGATATGTGTGTCACACCAGACAACACCCCATCTCAGGGTGGGGGGAAAGGAAGCCAAAGGGCAGCCCTTAAAGAAGCAGCAGTTCAGCTGCAGAAAAGGGGGGGGGTGTCAAACCAGGACCCCAGCGGTCACCAAGCAGGAACAAGAAGTGACTGTTAGTACTCATCTACTCAAGAGTAAAGACCCCTTGCAAGTTGTCCAGCATACCCCCAACAGCGGTTAACTGGGCCCTCCTGCTAGCGTTGTTCATGTGTTGCTCATTGAGTTATTTTATACTTTTAACCGTATTTTTAATTGCTCAGATGTTTCAATGTCTATTTTATGTTCTCTGCTTTGTGGACCCTGATTGGGTGGAAAAGAACATAAAAACGGTTTTGGATAAATAAGAGACTGCTCCACTCTTCTGGCTGTTGAGGAGGCGAGAAAAAGAGACAAACACCTTTGACTTAGGGAGCTTTCCCATGGGATTTTTCATGCTAAATGTGGTCAGTTCCCGGACAGCCACCTCATTAGTATGAATCTGGGGCACCAAGTGGTTGTCCCGCAACTGAGTTCTCTTCCTTTATCACACACATGTCGGAATGCCTCTCCTCTCTGTTTTGGGATGTCTTGAATCTCACTGTGGACGGCCCCCCGTTGCCATCTGGGGTTTCCTTCACCAAGCCGGCTGCCTTTATTCTACTCAAGGCACTAGAGTTGCCAGCCAGAACAGTTCAAAAGACCGGCATATTTCATTTCTGTAGGAAGAGATGAGGGTGTCTGGGGAGAAAAATAAGCCCAAATCCTTATCACCGCACCGCCTGGATCCCTGCAGCTCCTCACGGATCCTCAGCAGCAGTGAGGAAATCCTTGAGTCTCCCTGGTGGTTTTCTGTTTCAAAAGTTAACAGAAAATTGTTTAAAGGGTTTTTAAAAACAACACCACCTCACTGGCCCAATAATAGCTCTAACATGTGGATACTCAACACTGGATGGATGGATACTCAGCATTGGTCTCTGCACATGGACAGATGACGGTTCAGGCTTTCCACAACCAACTCACCAGTATCCTCGAACACTGGGGAACAGCCGTCCGTGCCTGACAACCAGGGCGAGGAGGAGGAGGAAGAAGAAGAGGACGAGGAGGAGGAAGAGGATGAGGACGAGGAAGAAGAGGAGGAGGAGGAGGAGACTGGATTTATCCCCCGCCCTTCACTTGGAGTCTAGAGTGGCTTACAAACTCCTTTCCCTTCCCCTCCCCACAACAGACACCCTGTGAGGTGGGTGGGGCTGAGAGAACTCTGACACAAACTGCTCTTTTTCAAGGACAGCTGTGCCAGAGCTTGTGACTGACCCAAGGTCATCCAGCCAGGTGCAAGTGGAGGAGTGGGGAATCAAACCCGCTTCTCCCAGAATAGAATCCGCGCACTTAACCATTACACCAAACCGGCTCTCAAAGGAGACAATAATGGGTAAAGAAGTCACGTTTGGGATTCAGCGGGCTGGATTTAAACTCAGTCCCTGGTCACTTTCCTGCCCAGAGTGAGTTGTAGAGCAGCAGGGTGTGTGTTGGTGGGGGGTACAACTGTGGTCCTGTCCCTGTTTTCATATGAAACTAGTATTTGCAGGTTTTAATACTTTTATGATGCTTGATCTTATCATTCATAATGTCTGCATGCTGGTAAGAAACAGCTCGACAGAGAAGGATGCCAATGTCCTGTCCGGCACTCACTTGGGATCCGTTCAGTATCAAGCCTGAATTTTCAGATGGACAAAGAAAAAAGGCCACTGAGCATGTGCAGAGGAGACACCTTCTCCATTGCATTCAGACACGGCTGCCAACTGCTGTAAAAGGCAACACTGACACACGACTTTCTCTGGAGGGTGCAATCCTGCCCTAATATAATATGTTGATAGTCCTGAGACTTACGTGTCGTCTACAAAATGCGCAGCTCCTTGGAGGTGGGAACTACCAAGTCTGGGAGACGGGGCCCCCTCCACACGCCTGTGGGATTCCCCTCCCTTGCAAAGCCGGCCTAAAAGTCTTTAGGCTGCTGCTTGGCAGAAAGAAAGAGGAGGAGGAGGAGGAGACTGGATTTATACCCCACCCTTCACTACCCAAAGGAGTCTCAGACCAGCTTACAATCTCCTTTCCCTTCCCCTCCCCACAACAGACACCCTGTGAGGTAGGTGGGGCTGAGAGAGCTCTTGAGAGAACTGCTTTTGAGAGAACAGCTTTGAAAGAACTGTGACTGACCCAAGGTCACCCAGCAGCTGCATGTGGAGGAGTGGGGAATCAAACCCGGTTCTCCCAGATTAGAGTCCGCGCACTTAACCACTACACCAAACTGGCTCTCAAGGAAGGAAAGCTGCTTACCCTGAGTGCTTCTCACACCCAATAGAAAAGGATGTATTAATGTCCTTCTATTTAACACTGGGGAAAACCAGATACAGGAATAGGGCGGAACTTCTAAAAGTGACTGATTCTATAAGGCCTAAAGACAGAGCTGAGAATGTTGTTAAAAACTGGCCCATTAATCATCCAACTATGACGCATGCATTTACTTGACTGCAACTTGACGTTGCCTTCATGTTGTCTTGGGCTGAACACTCCTGAAAAACTAAAATGACGGAGCTGAGGCTATCATGCTCTGGTCACATTATGAGAAAAGAGTCCCTGGAACAGACCATAACAAGACCAGAGCAAGGCTGTTAACGAAAGGATGTTTGGGAGAGCGTTAATGCACAACGTCACCATAAGTCAGAAGCGACTTGACGGCATCTAACACACACAGACATAACTGGCAGAATTCAGTAATTTTATAAGCGGTTTCTTCTTTAAAAAAAACCCTGAAAACAACAGAACAAGAAAGAGAGGTCATGATTCTGTTGTTGATGGGACATCTCTGCCCAAATAGCAGTTTCTTGTCATTTCATCTGCAGATCTTATTTATTTATTTGATTTATACCCCGCCCTCACTGCCAAGGCAGGCTCCGTTTGGGAGGGGAGTTAACACGGGAGGGAGCCGGTGGGAGGGGCTGCAGGGAAGCGAAGGAAGGCTGGTGGCTGGATCTGCGGGGGTGGGGGGGGTGGGGTGGAGTTGAGCAGAGACCAAGGAATCCCAGTGTGAGCTCCCAAACAGAGAGAAGGGGCAGAGAATTACAGCACCATAGGAAGACGATAAGAAGAAGGGATTTTAGGAACTCGCCCCTCTGATGGACATTGAGAATGGCTGAGGAAAGTTGCGAGGACGACTAAGGCCACATCCTTCTTGCCGAACTTCAGTTCACCTCCATCGGCTAAAAGAGCCAAACATACATACCCTATATCACTTCGTGAAGATGCATCTTAACCGTTTTCGTTCAAAAATAACGAAAAAGCTGATGATTCTGAGAGCACCTTTCTGTTGAGGCAAAAGACCGATCAGTGGCACCAGTAGGTATTTAAGATTCTGGACCAAGCTGTCCTGTTTCATGAGACGCAGAAGTTGAAGCAGTTCCTCATTGGAAACCTGACTACAGCCTTTCAAGCAGGGAGGCCCCTGAAGGCCACTGGTTGCCCAGAGAACAGATATCCCTGACAGTCCTTTGGACCAGCTCCCCTGTGCCTGTCCTCACTCCCTCCAGTCTTTTATGTACCCCTGAAAGAACTATTTGCCCTCTTTAAAGCAGGGCTGGATGTTCTCTGCAGACAAAATCTTGACTCTGTATGCAGAACTATCATTAAATCTGTCAAACACTGCAAGTTAGCAGCCACAAATCGGGATGGCCGTGCACTCCGGATGCCGCTGTCCACTCTGCACAGAATGTGGGTTCAGAGATCTGTGCAGTGCACTTGGTTCCCCATCAATTGGCTGGGAAAGGTCAAAACGGTGCGGAAGGCGAGCAAGAAGGCAGAGAAGTAAAGGAAACCCATAAACAGACTTACCAAAGCACCATCTGCAGCCATGAAGGAGTCCTGATTGTGTCCGCTTGTCGCCTTCTGGTCTGTTTACTGTTTCTGAAATTATAAAATGAATATTGTGCATAAGAGAGGAGAAGAATGCTGCCCACCACCACCACCACCCCCGGAGTCCACCAAAAGGCCAGGATCTCAGATCGCTACATCGCGCCTCTTCGGAAGAAACATCTTCCTTCTTAAGAAGGAAATAAACTCACCACAAATGTTTCCTGTTACTGAATGTCCCTGGAGGAACGGCGTCTCTTGTCTCGAAGCATTAACAGTATGTCCATTTGCAATGTTCTTCCCAACTGGATCCTCACAGTCACTTCTCACTTTTGTTCCCTCGGAGGAATTTCCTGCCATCCTTTCCAAGGATATTCATATTAGAAATGTGCCCCAGTTATGGCATGCCTCCATTTCTGCCACTCATATGTTTATGCTCTAAAGAACTCCCATCAGTCTATTCAGTACAATCTTGAGGTTTTGTGTAGACCCTGTCCTCCTCCTGGCCTTATACGATTGCTTTCAAAAAGCTGAACAAAGTTTGAGTCCAGTGGCACCTTCCTTATGACCAACAGAGTTTTATTCAAGGTATAAAGCTTGCATGTGCACCCAGACTTTATCAGATACCATGGCTATCGGAAGAAGTGTGCGTGCACATAAAAACATCTACCCAGAATAAAACTTTGTCGGTCTTAAGAGGTGCCAATGGAGTCAAACTTTTGTTCTTCTGCTTCGGACCAACACGGCTACCCCACCTGAATCTGTTTTTTAAAAAGTTCTTTGTTTGTTTGTGATCCCTGCCCTTCTGCCTCGGGAGTAAAACTAACAGTCGCGTAACATGCCAGGCCTACGCCAAAGGCACTCTCAACTGGTGAAAAAAAACAACCCACAGACAGTAAAGCAGTTCCCCCAGTCTGGAGGAGCAGCCCTCGTGATGCTCATCCTGCAATGGGATTGGCACTCAGGGGGCAGAGCTCCGTGATTCCCGCTCACCACAGTCAGGGCTATTTTTGGGCAGGAACGCACAAGAACAGAGTTCCGGCTGGCTTCAGAGTAGGCCATGCCCACTACAGCCAAAACCTCTGTGGGCATGGCTACAGAGGGAAGGCCTGGAAAACGACCCCCCGGTGACTCTGAGGCGGGGGGGCTGGAAGGGTTGGGGAGGCATTTAAATGCCTCTCTGTGCCTTCCCTGGCCTGTCCAAGGGCCGGCTTGCTCCCCTGAGTGCCCAGGCAAGCCAAGGGAAGGCATGGGGTGTGGCCTAATATACTAATGAGCTGTGCCATCAGAGGTGTGGTTCAATAGGCTAATGAGTTTCTGCTGTTGGGTGTGGTCTATTATGCTAATGAGGTCCTGCTGGGCTTTTTCTACATAAAAAGCCCTACCCACAGCCACAGCGGGAGGGTCACATTCTGGGGGCTCTCAGTGCACAAGCAAAGGGGGATCCTGGCTGCTGGAGGGAGGAGGAGATTGGATTTATACCCTGCCCTTCACTCTGAGTCTCAGAGCATCTTACAAAATCCTCCCCCTTCCCCACAACAGGCACCCTGTGAGGTAGGTGGGACTGAGAGAGAACAGCTCTAGAGAGAACTTGTGACTGACCCAAAGTCACCCCAGCAGCTGCAAGTGGAGAAGTGGGGAATCAAACCCTGTTCTCACAGATTAGAGTCTGTGCTCTTAACCACTACACCAAACTGGCTTATTTATTTATTAATTATGGCTAAGCCACATTTTGGCTAAGAGGAGGGGCTGCAAGCCTCCTGGCTTCGTGCCCCTTTTTGCCGCATGACCTCTCTCTCTCTCTCTCTCTCTCGGGGGGGGGGGGGCGTTTTCCCTAGGGCCCCCCCCCCCTTTCTCCCTCTCTCTTGGGGGGGGGGGGGCAGTCTTCCCTAGGTCACGCCTCCCTTCCTTTTCTGGAGGGCCTTCCGTTTGGGGGCGGGGCCTGGCGGGGGGAGGATTTGATTTCGTCCTTATTTGAATAGGACGAAAACAAGAGGGCGCGCCTGGGCGGGGTGTTGCCAACTGTCTTGCAGAAAGCAACGTTTGGTTCCGGCGGCGCCCTGGAGAGGGACCAACAAAGGTCTCCCAGGAAAACTCGTATTCACGGTGCAAGGCAAGCTGTCGTGGGCCAGCCCCCCTTCCTCCGCGACAGGGACACAAAATGTCCCCAGCCATTAAGTAGAGTGAGAGAGGGA